AAGTGAATATTTTTCATCTCGACATAGGCGGGATATCCATGCTCTTCTCTTAGAATCTCGCGTTAAAGTTAAACCCACGTAATGTGATAGTCGTCGGAAGCACTTTATCGCATTTCGTATCACTTCAAACATTAAGAACGTAACTTATACCATTGTCGAAATGGTTTAAGAAAAAATGGTGAAAAACAAGTGTGTGTGTGTGTGTGTGTGTGTGTGTGTGTGTGTGTGTGTGTGTGTGTGTGTGTGAATTGACAGGTATATTGAATTCACTTTAGTGCTTGTTATTACACAACACAACCCGACTCAGTATCTGTCTATTTCTGAGATGAGGTATTATGTACATTATTTACATTATTCGGACTATTGTCCTCATCTTTGTCGCCATATTTATTACAACATTTCGGCCGTTGTACGCTCCGGCCTTCTTCAGGTGGTTAGAATGTCGTACTGAATCCTTTATTCATGGCACGTGAAACTAGAACAGTCTACCCCAGTGAGTGAAATAAAGGGTTCAGTTCGACATTCCAACCACCTGACCGCCCGACTCATTTTCCCTTAAAATTTGTATGAATTTCATTTTTTATCTATTGTCACATATGCAATGATCTTTTATCGAAATAGAAATAATAGTTGAATAAATTTAAAATACCATCATTGTTTTGAAAGTTCTTTTATCACGAATGTCATCTTACTGACCGTAAGACAGTTGCTCTCCTTCCAATCGCTTCAGAAATTATTTGTCTTTGTATGATTGATATAATCAAGAATAAAGCCAAAGGTAACCTCATTTTAAATTTGCCGTGCCTTATTCTTTCTGTAATTTTTTTCATTTTATTTTATTTTTATTATTGCTAAATTCTGTGTAATTCGGCAAAATCACGTCATTTAACTTAATAAAGATCAGGCAGTTTTGATGATAAAACTGAGAAAAATAATCTCAAATGAAAATTACTTATATTAGCAGAATCTCCTAGGGAGCCATGGTCTAGTCATGGCTAACAGGTTAGTCTCGTAGGTATATAGGTTTTACTTTTATGATTCCGTTCCAAAAACTACTTTATAAAAAAGAACACTTCTTTCTATTTAAAAAATGACAAATCATGGTCAGTTCACAAAGAATCAGATAGGCCGAGAATAATAAAATAATTATAGAATCACACAATACAATCGTGGAGTTAAATTGGAAGTTCATCCCACTCACCATTTGTTCATTATAATTTTAAATGAATTTGCAAGCGAAGAATGAGCTAGAAATTTACAAATTATCAATTACATCAAATGCATAAAATATTAAAATTTGTTTAGCATAAAGATTAGGCATTTTTAAGGATAAATAACGATTTGCAAAATATAAAAAAACAAAATTATTTATTAGTGTACTACATCACAGGGGCATCTCATCGTGACGTGGAATAATGGTTAACAAGCTACACTCATACACTAATTCTAGTGAAGTGAGATTCTCATTCGGAGTTACATATGTGCCTTTGTGCCATATCAAATAATTTATGTATCAATACAATGCACTTAAAACAAACATGAATTTATCAAAACGTGGAAAACAATTTCCTTTTAGATATCACTTTTCTCGCTACAAAAGAAAAGGCATAGCGTGATGGAAAAAGGCCCCAAACTTGATGAAAACAAAGTTTTATCGTCAAAATGTTTGTTATTAAGAGAAAAAAACTAAAATATATTTATTTTATTCCTTTCTGGCATGTTCGAAATCTTGGTTAAAATTTTTGTTTTTCATGCGTCAGCGGTGGGCCAAATGAGAATATTAGCGCCTTTTTTGCGGTAAAAAAATGAAATAATTGTCGGATCTTTATGAAATTTTCAGGACTTATTCACAAAGGAATTTTTTAAGAAAATCTCAATATATTTTTCTTTTTTTTTTTTACATGTATTACTTAATTTTATGAAAGTTCGAGTAATTAAAATTTCAACCTCTTTATATCTATATTATTTAAAATAGGTAACTCCACGAAATCGCTAAAAAAAATTAGTATAGCATGATGAAAAAGACGCCAAACTTGACGAAAACAAAATTTTATCGTCTAAATGTTCATGTTATTATTAAGAGGAAAGACTAAAAAAATTTTAATTATTTTTTAAAATTTTTCTTTCTTTTTAGAACATTCTAAATTTTGATTAAAAAAACTTGTTTTTTCTCTTTGTATCACCGGAACTAGTAAAATAACAGACAATTTTTAGCACTTTTTTTTTTTGTATGACACACATTAATTTGGAAAATCTTGAAAAATAAAAATAATTGTCGGATGTTAATGAAACTTTCAGAAGCTATTCACAGATGATCGAAATTATTATAAATAAGGTTTTTTTTTTTTTTTAAAGTCATGGCAGAAATATTTTTTTTATATTTATTACCCACCCCCCACGCCGATAACTAATTTTATGAAAACGCTAGAAATTCGATCGCATCGGGTTTAGTAATTACAATAGTTAAAAGCACAAGGCTTTGAAGAATGCAAATCATGTTTTTTTTTTTTTTTTATTTGGATCCGCACTCCCTGAAAATCAGCTCTGAATTGTAACATACAAAACTCAATAAAACAAATATATTATTTAATTTCAAATGATTTTATTTGCTTTTATGAATATGGACAATATTTTCTGAAAGCAAAAAATTTTTTCGATGAAAAATGAATTTTTAATACAATTATTTGTTATTTCTTTAATTATAATAGAAATTTACATTTAAGTTGTTAAAATATTATAAAATCAGTTAAAAGCCGCATCGGGTTTCCTAAGTGTCCTTACGAGATAGATCTTTTTTTTTTAGCGCGTTGTAAATTGTATCATTTCGACTAATCAGAAGATTCGCAGTAATTAAGAAATGTAATTTTGTGTTTATAATCGGGCTGTAATTAAAGTACGGAAGACCAACCAGAATACAATTAATTTGCGTTATTTGAGTTAAGCATTGTTCTCCGCTGTTAAGGCCTTTACTTTTGCGAAACACGTGTGGAGAAGTTAATTTTATTTTTCAATTTCAACTGAGAATGGTACCTACAAGTATCAATATCATCTTATGAAATTTATATGATCTTATTTTTATATTATTCTCAGTTATGACATTTTTCCATAAATGAAATATCAAAATTAATAATAAAATGAATGGAAATACGAATAACACAGTAAAATGTAATAAATGTACATAAAATTATAGTATTTTAAGTACACTTCTGATAAAATTTCATCAGAAAGGTACCTATATTAATTAGATACCTTTCTTATGAAATTTAATCTCACTCTTAACAGTCTTATTTTAATTTCTTTATAATATATTTTCCATAAAGCATCGTAAACCTAAAGGTGAAAGCTAAGTACAAAAAAAATTAGAGCGTTGAAAGTTTTCCTTAAAAATAACGAGGTAAATAATTTGTTCACTTAAATCTAAATAACTTCACTTTTCGGCTTCCGTAGAACAAATTATTATCACTTAAATCCGTCAATACGACATTCAATACCTGTCAAGTGACGCGAAAGGTTATGACCTGCTTTTTATTTTCAAATTACATCCTTTCGGCGCAGAAGCTAAGTCAACCTTTGTTCAAAATATTTCAAATAAACGTTATAATTTCTGATTTTCTTAAAATAAGTTTTAAAAAAATGATAATTGATTTTAAAAGAATTTCGAAGTGAGGTAGTCATCTTTTTTATAAAATGGAAAAAATGTATGGCATAATCGATTATCTATCAATTTTGTGGACTCAAAAAAAAAACAAGATTTTTAACGAAAATTTTGGACGTGATCGAAACGATTAAAAAATGTAAAAAATTACCCCCAAAATACTTTGATCTTTCCTCTTAATAATCATGAGCATTTGTTTTCGTCAAGTTTGGCGTCTTTTTCATCATATTATGCTCTTTTTAGCGATCTCATGGAGCTACCTAAATTAAAAGCATATCTCCTTGGAAAATTTAAATCATCAATTGATTTTTGTTAAATAGAAACACAATTTACGGAAGATATGCTCCGAATCTTAAAACTATTTTCACCTGAATTATAATTTATAAAATTTTAAATCTTTTAAAATTCTGTGTTAAAATATGCCTTTTAGATCATATACTAATCATAAGCGGAAATTTTTAATACCAATTATCAAACATTTTTTTTTTTAATTTTTTCATTGGTATACAAACGTGCATAGGAAGTTAAGAGCGAGAACTACATTAAATTTGAAGACGAATTTTCGAACTTCACTCCATTTGCAAAAGGGACATTGAAAGAGAAAGCATATCATAAATCGTCAGAAAAACATTTTGAATGTCTTATTGGCCCTGAAAAGGGCCATTTTCTTTTTCGGTTGTAACTGTAGAGGGTAAAGAGACAGATTTATTTAGGCTCTCTCGCCACGAATACGGCGGGCAAGCTGGATATCCTTGGGCATGATGGTAACACGCTTGGCGTGGATGGCGCACAAGTTGGTATCTTCGAAAAGACCCACCAAATAAGCCTCGCTAGCCTCCTGTAAAGCCATCACGGCAGAACTCTGGAAACGGAGATCGGTCTTGAAGTCTTGAGCAATTTCACGTACCAGGCGCTGGAATGGAAGCTTTCTAATCAGAAGTTCAGTGGATTTTTGATAACGTCTGATCTCACGCAGGGCAACGGTACCGGGCCTGTAACGATGGGGCTTCTTCACTCCGCCAGTGGCGGGAGCGCTCTTACGAGCGGCCTTTGTGGCCAGCTGCTTACGAGGAGCTTTTCCTCCAGTGGATTTACGAGCGGTTTGCTTTGTACGAGCCATTCTGCTTTGTCAAATAGTACTACACTTGAATACGGACTTTATCTACATGCCCATTGTGACTGCTGCTGGTTTACAAAAATCTGTTTTTTTGACACTCAGCTTATTTCCATTGGTCAGTAAATCACCCTTTTTTCTCACGTGATGATCTCTCTACTACGTCCGCGTAGAATCAGCTTAAATATGTATAAATTATAATATTTCATTATTGCTTGTTATTCTGTTTGATTAAATTTGATCGTGTCTGGCCGTGGAAAAGGAGGAAAAGGATTGGGAAAGGGAGGCGCTAAGCGTCATCGCAAGGTGCTCAGAGATAACATCCAGGGTATCACCAAACCCGCTATTCGCCGTTTGGCTCGCAGAGGTGGTGTCAAGCGTATCTCTGGTCTCATCTACGAGGAGACACGTGGTGTCCTTAAAGTTTTCCTTGAGAATGTTATTCGTGATGCCGTCACCTACACTGAGCATGCCAAGAGGAAGACTGTTACCGCCATGGATGTGGTCTATGCCCTGAAGAGACAAGGCAGAACTCTCTATGGGTTCGGAGGTTAAATCTGAAACACTTCACTCTCAACGGCCCTTTTTAGGGCCACCCACATTCTACGAACTAAATTCAATGATTGCAAGATATGTAGTACTACTTGGGAATGTTCACAGATTCTCAATACAATCCTTAAGGTTTCAAATTGAAATGTATTTTTAAAAAAAATGGAAAAGCTTTCTTTTTAGTTTCAATTGAAAATAAAGAAATAAATTTACTATACCCAGTGAGCAAAATACTTTGGCTCATTTCAAAAAATTGAATTTATATTGATTGGTATATAAACTTTTTTTCTTCATTAAATCGGGGATGTATGAAGTTTGTAAATTAAACCTAAATTTTCCGTTTTGAAATTTATTCTATTTTGAAACAAACATTAACTACTTTTTTGTACTAAATAAAAGCATTTCTTACCTGTTTGATGGTAATGATAGCTGAGGTTACGAGATGTCAGCTAATCTTTTTTTTTCCTCCATAAATGTATGAGAAAACACACACACACACACACATAAAGAGAGCATTAAAAATAGAAGTTTTAGACAAATTTGTCGAAAGAAACAGGATTTCAAATTACAATATTTCTTTCAACAGAACTTTCCAAAATTAATTACAACTAAATTTAACACGTTTAATATTTATTGGTTTAATTGTCCGAGTCAAGCCGCGTTAGGGGATTTAAAAGGCATTTTAACGTCACTGATAACGGATTCAATTAAATGTCATAATGCTCGTTCAAGAAAAGAAAATACGAAACTATACACAGATTATTGAACAGGATTAAACTGAATCTGTTTAAAGTGCATATTCGCATGTAATAATGACCAATAAATGTAATAGTTTTACTTTGATTTTCTAGTTTACAAAATTTAAGTAGCAGTTAATCAACGATATAAAATAAAATTATTTAAATATCTCATGTATACAATTTATTCATTTAAAATGCTCTATTTATTTTGTAAAGATCTTGTTTCTATTTATATGGAAACCACTGGCATCGATATCAGTTCCTTAGCAGTTCACCATTCTACATTGTTTTCTATTTACTTGCATCAATTTCAAATGCATGATAATTGTTTATATTCATATTTTTTATGGCATCGAAGGAAGTTAGTTATAAGTTCTCCATTCTTGAATATGCCCTCAACATCGATGGCAGTGAAATAAGTAATGGATGCACACCTGAGAGACTCACGAGCAACGTTTTCTATTCTTCTTTATTCTAAAAATAAGTTAAAAGTTAACCTCTTCTGACTGCCCTGTAAAAAATATTTCGAAACTTTTCTAATTAAAACTCGTACAAGTGCAGAAAAAAGTTTCAAACAAAATTTTAGGAAAAAAAAGTGAAGAAAGGCGTTTTTCTTTCATTTATAAAAAATACGAAGGAGTCAATGGAAAAGAAATTCAAGTATCACCTAATCAAGCGAATATTTTATTTGAAACACGTTTTCCATATATTTTTTTAATTTTTAAAATGCTAGCCCTAGTTATCCAACATTGTCAAAATTTAAAAGTAAAACTGAATAAAACTCATTCGTCTGGCGTAATACAATATCTTTGTAATCATCTATTTATTGGCCTAATGCAGTACCAAGTTAAAAAAAGAAAAATAAACCTCTTAGATTTATATCGCATGTAATTGTAATCAATTGAAAAAGAACAACATGAAAGTTTGAGTGGCCCTGAAAAGGGCCTTTTGTCTTTGTTCTGTGTTTTTTTCCTTAAGTTTACTTGGCGGCTTTCTGGGTCTTCTTGGGTAGAAGAACAGCTTGGATGTTGGGAAGGACACCACCCTGGGCAATGGTGACTCCAGACAACAACTTGTTCAATTCTTCGTCATTACGGATGGCCAGTTGCAAGTGACGGGGAATGATTCTGGATTTCTTGTTGTCTCTAGCAGCATTTCCTGCCAACTCAAGAACCTCAGCGGCCAAATACTCCATAACGGCGGCCAAGTAGACGGGAGCACCGGCACCGACTCTCTTGGCATAGTTTCCTTTACGCAGGAGACGATGGATACGACCAACGGGGAACTGAAGTCCGGCACGGGATGAACGTGTCTTGCTCTTTCCCTTAACTTTACCTCCTTTACCACGTCCAGACATATTGTTGAATAGAGTAAATGTAATTACTACAAGCGACAAAGATTTAATGTTAGCTAAAGACTGCAACTAGCTTTAAATAGGATTACAGTAGGCTCCTGGCAGCTGCCGATACTTTACTCCTTTCGTATTATTTTTCGACCAATGAAAACCCAGCAAAGAGAAGCCGCTGTGGGAGCCGACTTGATTGATGTATATCCAGATACTGACAACATTCTGTTAACTGTTAACATTAACAACGATTTCACGATACTTCCTGCTGAAGTTAGTTCAAAGGGTGCTAAATAAGTCGATAAAACTATGGATTACAGTCAAGAAAAAAAAAGGAAAGCTACTTCATTTAAATTTACAAAGTACCGAAGCAAGTCCATATTCTTGATACTGGTGTCTCTAGCAAAGATATGTTCATCATGAACAATTTTGTCATCGATCTTTTTCAGTAATTAAATAAATTTATGCAATTTAGTATGAACATACGGGAAATTCCACCCGCATTTTACCAAAAATCAATAAAATATTTTTTTGGAATTGATACTTGCGTAATTTAATCAAACATTTTTATGAAAAAAAAAGTCTAAGCCTTTTTACAAAAATGGAATGGATTTATATTCACCCACCACCTGCATGATAAGAAATCTCCTCGCTCTCCTGACAGACAAACTTTTTGATCTTCAAAATATTAAATGTCGAAAATAAAATTTGTTAATTTATTCAGTTTGGGACCTTTTATGCTATACTGATTTTTAGCGAATTATTGGAGGTACCTAAATGCAATATCAAGTATGGGCATACGGGAAATTCAGCCAGCATTTTACCAAAAATCAAAAGATTTTTTTAGAATCGGTACTTGCGTAATTTAATTAAACATTATTTTTATGAAAAAATGTCTAAGCCTTTTTACAAAAAATGGAATAGAATAGAATAAAAATACATTCACCCACCACCTGCATGGTAAGAAATGTTCTCGCTCTCCTGACTTTTTAAGATTCTTGGTCTTCTTCAATATATTATGTCGAAAATAACATTTGTCATTTTTATTGAAATGATAATATACAGTAGATCCTAATTCTATTCAGAACGTTGAAGAGGGAAAAAAACCCAAAAAACTTTAATAAATTATAAATATAAATTATACGTTAAACATAATCGCCCAATAACAAATGATGCGAAACGGAAGTGTTCAGCATGAAATATACGACGGTGGCAACATACTGGAAGAACTTAATAGCGTTGCTTAAAAAAGCCTGGTGCAAATGCGATGCAAATTTCATCAGCCAATGAGATTTATAAGACATATAATTGAGCTTAGCATCCAGATTCTGATGAATTAAACCTCAAAATAGAGCAAGAGCAATTAGTTAAAAACACGGCAACAAGAAATGCAATATCTGAATGATATCAGAGAAAGCAAAGTTAGGACACAAGGATTTATTTAAACGGCGAGAATGACTTGATTTAGTTGGCAAAGATATTGAAATAATCCAGAACATTTACTGGGAGAAATCCACCTGCATACGGATAGAAAACAAATTTTAATCCAGTTCTCAATTAATGCCTGTTTTAATTCTGATTAATCAAACTTTAAACCAACTAATCCTTCTTAATTAACGTTTCAGAAAAGTATATTTTATTTTTTAAAGATTTAATAAAGAGAAGTATGTTGTGTTGACAGATTTTTCTATATAGACGATTTTACTGATAATCTTAAAAAAAATTTCAATCAATTTAAAATTCAGTTTGATTGGGAATATTTCGGATAATTCCTTGAGTTTTCATTCCTATATATATATGTGTGTGTGTGTGTGTGTGTGTGTGTGTGTGTGTGTGAACTAATACGCGAATCTAAAAGTAAAGATCATGTTCTTTTTCGCACCTTAAAAACACTCCTTTCTTTATTAACCAATTTTCTTCTGACGGGGTCATTCGAGATCAGGTAGTATGTTTCCGGCTTTCACATAGAAGCAGATAAAGATCGCAGTCACGGGACAAGGAGAAATACTTTATTTTATTTCATGGCAAGCAAGGACGCACACACACACCCGTACTCACATATCAGCACTTCAAATGACAAAATTAACGTTTTAAAAGTAATGACTATTCTATAAAACAACAACAACAACAACAAAAAACCAATTAGCTTGCAAAAACTAAAATATTGATTTTTATTATGGGTCACCATACAAACGGAATCAATTCAGTCTAGACCTGTCAAGTCAACGCATTGATATTTTTTAAACAAAAAGAAATCTACTGTGAATTAATATCCCTGGTTATTTTTTTTAATTCAATTATTCTAAATCTGATTATTATGTGTTCGTGTATGTATTTTTTTCTTTTTTTTGAAGATTCATTAGAGTTAGGTACCTTCAAAAATTCGCTAAAAATGAATGAGGATACATGATGAAAAAATGCACAAACATAATAAAAACAAAATCATATCGTCAAAATCATATTATTTAAGATGAAAGAACAAAGGATATTTTAAGTAAAAATTATATTTTCATCCTTGTTTTACAACCTTGTTTTTGCTTTAAAATTTTGGTTTTGTTTTCTTTAGTTATTTTTGTTTTCTTTTTTTAGAAAATCGTTGTAAAACTGTTTGACATCTAATCCCCATTCATTTCATGAAATTTCGGAAAGTTCTTTTTTGCATTGTTATATATGAATAAATCCTTTGAGAATTTTAATTCTGAAATTTTTTGTTCAAATAGGACAATAACTATAGAAATCCTGCCCTGAATCGTAAAATAAAAAATGCAATAAAACTAAAATATTATTTAATTAGAAAAGTCTTTCATTTCTTAATGTCTTAAGATAAAAAAAATTCAATGAATAATAAATTTATACAAAAAATGTTTTCTTTTAGTTAAATTTTAATTTAGAATTATTTATAAACTTTTAAATTCTGAAATAATTTATAGCGACCCACTGGTATTGTAATTAAATTTAAAACTATGTTTCTTTTTAGTACCTTAAAATTTCGTTTTTATTGCGTCAGCCATAAATTATTAAGTGTAATTTTAGTGGCATTTTGCGATGGAAAACGCACTGATTTTGAAATTCTTGCGAAAATCAAATAATTGTCGGATTTAATGAAACTTTCAGGACTTATTCACAAATCATTAAAATTATTTTAGAAACATTGATTTTCTTAGAAATTATTGGTAAAAACATTTTTCATCCGTTGCCTCCCTCACAATTAATTTAATTTTATGAAATTTCGAGAAATTAATTTTTATAGCGCTCAATGTTTATATTACTTATAAGCACATGTCATTGGAGAATTTAAATCATCATAATTTAATTTTTATTTTTGAAAAATTTAATAAAGAGAATTATATTGTGTTGACAGATTTTTGATATGAACGATTTTACGATAATCTGAAAAACTTTCCAATCAATTTAATTTCAGTTTGAAATAAATATTAGATTTAATCTATTAGCTTGAAATTAAACTAAAATAAAAACTTCAAGAAACATTTTTTCACTTTTTTCGACTTAATCATATTGAAGACCGAAAATCTTTACAATAGTCAGAAAAATATACCAATTCACAATGTCAATTCAGCGTTTGTAAGTCAGGAGAATGAAATCATATTTCTAAGGACGCGGGAGCTGTGCGAATGTATTTCTCTTCTCTGCGTAAATTTGATCGGAAATGACTGCATTTTGTCATAATAGAGACAGCAGATCTTTAAAGACTTACCTTCTGAAAAAACAGATTGTGTATACACCTGGAAAAATAATTAAAAAAATGCGTTAAGAAACGTCAATTCGGGTCGATAACTGATTAACTATTATACCGTTCAGCGCCCATTTCCTTTCCATTAACATACAAGAAGGATTACATTACAATATACCAGCAGCAGAGAGTAATCGTGAGCGGAAATATTTGGATAAATGAATTCGGACCTTTCTCAAGTTTGGCTCTAATTCTGAAGTGGATTCAATATCGCTTTTTTTTCTTTTTTCTTTTTTTTTTTTATTGACTTATTTTATTTGGAATGTATTTTGTAACAGAATTTATTATTATTATTATCATTTAGTGAATCTGTGTCAACCATTATTATTAATTTATGACTCCTATTTACTCTCATCTTAATCTTCATGGTCATTAACCTTTTTTTAGTAATTTTAATGACTTAAAAAATAATTCTAATCAATTTAAATTCGGTTTGAAATACAGCAATGTGCGTTTGTTTTAATTCTGACTAATTAAACTTTAAATCAGCTAATCCTTCTTAATCTTAATTAACCTTTCACAAGTATATTTTATTTTTATTTTTGAAAGATTTAATAAAGCGAATTATGTTGTGTTTACAGATTTTTTTTTGTTTTATCGCATTTATTGATTTATTTTATTTGGAATGTATTTTGCAACAGAAATTATTATTATTAATTTTTAGTGAAGCTTTGTCAACCATTATTATTAATTTATGACTCGTATTTATTCTCATCTTAATCTTCAGACTCGTTAAAATTAAAAAAAAAAACATAATTTTCTTTTATCTGGACAAAGTTATTCCGATATCTAAATCTAATATTAATAAAACTAATCTTACAATATTTCATCTAATTCACATTTTAATGTAAAAAAAGGAATTATTTGTCAATTAATAATAACTTTTTATAAGAACAACTTTAATTATATTAATTTATAAACTTTTAAAATTCTGTATTAATTTGTGGCCATCAAGTGACATAATATTACCTGAATAAAAATAGCACATCGGAAAAAAAAACTTCCATTCTTTAATTTAATTTAGATGCATTAATAATATTAACATTTTATATTTTGTGCAAATGTAAACATTTTATAACGAAAAACCTGTTTAAAATAACAAATTGTTTGTCGAAACAAAATAGCTTCAAAAAGTTGATATGACAATCAACTTTATTTTTTTAAGTGTTCGTTGATTAATTGGATTTTATCGACCACCGGACTTGCATTTTGAAATTGGGTTTCTGCCTCCACGGACAAAAGTCTCAAGTTCAATTGTCTC